ACTTTCTCTGTATTCCATAATTTCTCTTTAAACTATCATATACCTTTTGACTGAACATTCACTTTTGATTTAAAGTAAGTAAAGGATCACTCATCTCTACCAAATTATTCCAACCGTTAATTATAACTATAATTAAATGCTTGCATGTTCTTCCTTCTCTAATGACAGTATTTCCTAATTACAGAAATCTCCTCCTCCTTGCAGTTACTTGCATTTTTAAAAGTCTCTTCTTGGTCTTACTTCACAGAAATTATCCAGCACATTGGGTTTGTTTATTTTTGAGAGGCTCATAAGAAGGAATATAAAAGCATAAAGGAGAAAGGCAATAAAATCCCCTTTATGCAGTGGAAAAACAGGAGATGAACTCATCATATTACATTGCAATAAAGATGACTGGCATTGTTTTTAGGGAAAAACCCATCCCACTTTCCAATTGCTGGAGCAGCCGCGTGCTGACAGATTTGCAAGTGAGATGATGGAATCTCAGTACTGGAATACTTTTAAGAACAGCTTAGACAAATCTTTTCCAGGAATAATTCGAGGAGTGTATAAGTTGGGCAACCTCACCACTTCTCTTCCACGGTGATTTCCCGTAATTCTGTTTTTTCCCAAATAATTATTATCTTTTAAGCCTTTGGCATTGTTCAGCACCATTTTTGAAGAACATTCACCTTCTCAAGCAATTCATATTCCTTTAATTTACCTGTTCACAACAGCATTTGTTACGTCACCAGTTTGAAGTCCTTTACCAACAGTGATCTCACAATTACTTCCTTATCACTGAGTTTATACATGTAAATAAATAAATATATGTAAAAGAATAAACGCATATATATATATATATGAAAGTTGGGTTTACTCAAAAGCTCCCTCTGGAGCTGCTCTGGGTAAGTGAGCTCATGCCAGGAGGGTGAGAGCGGCTTTTCCTGCAGCCCCACTCCTGCCATGCGGCTTCGTGGGAACTGTCTGTGAGTCAGAAAAATAACAAAAGACAAACATCTGAAGTTGGAAATGCCTCTTAGACAGCCAAACACAGGGAAAAGCCTACGGGAGGATGCTGCCGTGCGAGCTGAGCGTTAGCAAGAGTGCAGGAGTCATGGCAAAAGCTGCCTGGCAGGGTTGGCACTGCTGAAAGGAGCTGGAGATGGATGCCAGTCACTCCACGCTTTTCCAAAGCTGCCAGAGGTTGATGTGTTGGGCTGTGCCTATAAGAACGGCACCTGACAGATACTGTCCAATCCTTTCTCAGCGGCTCTTCTCATCTCCCCTGCACAGCTCCAGAACCATGAGTTAGGTGTGTAACTCCAGCTGGTCAGCAGTTCTGGTTGTCACCATGATCTTGGGACCTGCCAGCCCAAACAGAGCATACATCCACACATCACATCCACACATTGAACGTTTCTCCTCCCTCATTTCCATACATATACAATATTTTTGCTTATTAATGTTGCTATCAATTATCTCTTGGGAGCAGAGTGATTTTGGAGGATCCTCTAGGCAAGAACACTTATTGGAAATGCTCTGAGGAAATGCTTTCAGACAGTTTTGCAAACACCCACTAATGTTTTATATATGCAAAGTATTGTGGTGTTACGATGTTAATAACAGGCTGCCAGTACTAAACTCCACGGTATTGAATCATAGCGTCACTTTAAAATATATATATATTAGGGACACCCACGTGATTCTCTGAACTAGGCAATGATAAACACCTTGGGAATTTGGATCCCTTTGTTTTTTTTTGATTAAAAGCCAGCTTTGCGTTTGTTATCCTAACCATACTATTTAAAACAAGTTGGCCAAATATTCACCTTTCCACATCAGGACATATTTGCTGATTTAAATAGTATTATATCACCTGAGGGAGCTGGGGCTGTGCTTCAGCCGTGACGTGAGTTGCTGCTTCCTCACAGCAGGTCAAGTCGGGCGCAAATCAGTACTGTAACCCTTGGTCCCCTACAACGCCTGAGCAATTCTAAATCAATCAGTTGCTCGTCTTTTCCCTGGCCCACCTGTGTGCTAAACGGGGAGGACCAGCTTTGCCAGTGTATTGCTCACTTACCTGCAGTTTCCCGCAGCGTTCTTCACACTCATAAGCATTTTTATGGCGCAGTCTGTGACCATAACCACTGTGAATGGTACTGGGGACAGAGTGATTTATTCTAAACCAGGCTGAGCAATTCCTAGATCCCTCTCACCATCCCACTTTAACCAAAATGAGCTTTCTCCCCTTATGTTTCTTCCTGGGCTTGGCCAGGAATCGTACGGCAGAGGAGGAGACCTCTCCTGCCGAACTGGGGCTACGTCTGCCACGTCAAGCCCTTGCGCTGTCTTATGTTCTTGCCTTGGAAGAGACTTGAACATCAAACGAGGAGCCAGGCCACCATGGGCAAGGCTGTGCTCTGCTGGGAGCGTCTCTCCAAGGCAATCCTGACACTACAGTCACGCAGTGACTACAGTTTCTGTAAACATGTCCTAACAAGCTTTAAACTAGCAAGCACACTTACTACTAATGTTAGGTTAGGCTTGTATGCATTCTTGGAGGTCATGATGTTAAGCAAGGAAAACAAACACCTGTTCTCTAAGGAACTGCGAGGATGAGTCTTGCAGAGCCTCTGACCGGCTGCAGGACTGCCAGGGCAAGCCCCAGTCCAGTCCCACAGGCCGCCTTCCTGCTGTCAGGGCAGCAGGAACGGGTTCGATGCTTAAAATCACGAAAACGGAAGGAGTCCGGGGATGGGACTGTGCAAGTCACGTTCTGGTGAGAATAGGGTAATCAACACAAACAGTAAGCAAAACAATTACTGTAATTATATGCCAAATTTTGTTTGGGTAGTAATGGAACGTAATGGACAAATATGACGTTGTTTTCTTGCATCAGCCTGGTGGTCCAGGAAGGTATATAAAACCATTCACGATTCAGAAACCTTCCAGCAAGTTCTCTTGACTTCTCCTCGGTGAACTGAGTAAGTTGGATTCTGATATAACTTCTTTTTCCTAAAAAAAAGAAAAGTAGTATCATTTTTAAAAATCTTTGTATTTACTCCAGGGATGACTTTTGGGTTAATATTCTGCGATTCTGTACAATATTCAGTAGTTTATTTTCATTAAAGAGTCATTTGCTAATTATTCATTCAGAGGCACTGATGGATTGAAGGTTTAAAAATACATTTGAAATCTAAATAATATTAAAGACATCTACTTTGGTTACTTCATGGAAATTTAATGCATATAGCCTTTAGGTAGCCTTAAAATATTGTAGCCAGTAATATACAGCTGTCTGTGTTGTTCTGAACTTGTGGCTTTCAATTTTTGTTTAATTTTGGACAGAGGTATCATGCGTGAATATTGAGATTGGCTATATGAGCACTGAGATGGTGAGATAGCTCCAGTCACCTTCCGTATCAGAGCAGGGTATTTGGACACAGCATCTCTGTGGACGTAGCCCTACAGGGCTCCTGGTCTGACTTTGGAAATGCCCTACCTGGGACCGTCTAGGGCACTTGCTGTCGGTCTGAAAGGTCAGGGCTTTGCTAAATCATCTGAAAGTACAGCTATGCAGAAGACATGGGAACCTAGAAAATGTCTACTTAAGGTGTATCCTATTTGGAAAGTTGCTTTGGGTGTTTTTGTTCTGTTTATGCAAAGCATTGATCTTATGCAAAACATTCAACCTGCTGTGTAAGAATATATTATCCACTATAAATGTTTTGTGCTATATGTTATGCGTTCGGGTCTGTTTTTCAGCTATTCATTTTTCTGTCTCTCTTTCTGCTGAGCGATTTGCTGGTCAAGTAGAGAACATAAAATTGACAGATGTAGTAGAGTGAAAAGGCCGGAACCTGAAGTTAGTGTCCGGATTAGTGTTTAAGATCAGAAGTTTAGATGAATAATGGGTGTTTTGGCATTATGTCTAAAACAACAAAAGAAAAAAAATCTGAGAAAAATTGCTTGATTCAAACCGAGCCCCACCCAGGCTTTTCTAATACACAGCTCAGTTAGACATAAAATAAGTAATCGCCTTGGCCGAAACCAAAATATTCCATTTAATCTAAAACAACAGATTAACTAGTTCCTTCATTTGGTGCTTTGATTTGGAATGTGGATAAGTTTGAAGTGACATCCTGAAACGTAGTTTTATGACGTTTTCCAAATTACTTCCCCACCCTTCGATTTATTTCAAACAAAAGAAAGGTGTAGAATTCAGTCCAGGTTTGTGAACAGTTTTACTCCCTCTGAAACTTAGATTCAGGTGACCAGCTTTCAGGTTTTTGCTGTGCTTCAGCTTTTTCCTTGTGATCTTGCTTGTTTAATTTTCCAAGTGAGCCTGATACTAATTATGTTGTATTAAAGCAACCTGTTACAAACTAACTGCACTAAACCCATAAAACCCTTACGGGATTGACTCCTTCCCATACAATGTAAGGATTATATACCTCTTTCTGCCTTTTGTCTGCTTAGCCTAGAGAATATGTAAATTTGGTACAGTAAAACCTCTCGTGTTTACCGTTTCTGCAATGCTTGGTGCTGTGTTACCCTAGTTTTACTGGACTCCACCTCTGGAGTCCAAATTATATAGAAGAAAGCAGATGTTACTTAAGCAGCAGCCCCAAAGAGTGTCTGCAGGAAGGAACTGGGCTCTGAAAGGCCACAGAGGAGAAGAGCAAAGCAAAGCAGAACAGGGTGGGTATCAACCTACCTATCAACTTGTGTCTCTTGAGGGCTCACATTAGCTTAGCTCAAGCATTGATCCTGTCCTACCAGCTCCTTTGGTTTTATATTTGCTCCTTCCCATACCTTGCAGGCCTACAGGGCAGCTAAAAGATGTCCTGCGAGAAAACCGTCTGCGCTGAGCCGTCCTCTGTCCCATGCGACGTGAAATGCCCCGAGCCCCGCGCCGCCGCCTGCACCGAGCCTTGCGTCGTCGCCTGCCCGGACTCCCGTGTGATCATATTCCCACCTCCTGTGGTCGTGACCTTGCCAGGACCCATCCTCACCACCTACCCGCAGGAAACCATCGTGGGCTCCACGGAGTCAGCTGAGCTCTCTGGCTCGTTAGAGTCGGCCGTGGCAATTGGTTCGGGGAAGAAGGGCGCTGAGTGCCTGCAGCCCTGCATTGATCGTTGCGCTCCGCAGTTTGCCACGAAGTGCGAGCCCCAGGGTTTTCCCCTGTGTCCGCCACCATGTCCTCCTCCGTGTCCTCCTCCGTGTCCTCCTCCTCCTCCGTGTCCTCCTCCGTGTCCTCCCCAGTGTGCTCCCCCGTGTCCTCCCCAGTGCACGACCCAATGTGTGCCTGAGCGTTCCTACACTTATTCCACCCGCTGGAAGCATCCTTGCCAGAGGGCCTTCTGCAAGAAGATCTGATCAGCTTAAAACAAAGAGCAGCTGCAGGAAAAGAACAAGCAAAGAAGCGAAAAAGTATGGCATGTGATTTACAGACATGGCTACCGGTGGGGGAAGCACCCTTGAAAACCAGGACCCTGCATTTAATTCCCATATAGTGCTTTAGCTTAGATTAATGCTTTCCTTATTCTTGTGGCTTTGCATCTCACATCTGCGCTTTTAACTTTCTCTACCCAGTTTGACATTGGCCATGGTTTTAAAACAAAGCACACATAGGGATTTGAATGTCGGGCTCAGCAAGAGTGAGGAAAGTGAACATCTCGATGAACTGCGTCACACTGGAATGGGTAATTGGTTTTAGCTTTTCTTGTCTCTAGAAATATGCTCTTTCTAGTCTGCATTACTCTTTCTGCAAATGTTTACTCCACTTTGCATTTACATTAAAATGCTGCTGCATCAAACCATTAGCCTTCTGAATCTCCTTTTTCCTCTGCTACTCATTTGCAATGCTCTCTTGGTGACACTCAGCCTTGTACAGAGGAACAGAAGATGGCCTCAAGACTCCTTCTAGACCACTCGAAATTTGATGCCCAGGTAAAATGAAGGATTTGGTTGTGCTCTGCAGGTCCCTGTGTGAAAATGGGATGTCAGTTGTATAATCCAGGCTGCAGTCTGGAAATCAGTGAGCAGAAGTCCTGGTCAGAGAGAAAAGTGGTTCTGCATTGTCTAGATGTACATCTTAGACTATAGAAAAATGTATAATTTTAGAGAGTCCAGTTCCAATTCTTAAACAGTCCTATTTGGAGGCCGCCTTCTCTATAAACAAACCAAACCGAGCCAGATTCAAGATACTCTTCATATTTCTGCATCAAAACCTTTCCAGCCTGCTTTTGCAAAGAACTCTTTTCCACATGTCAGGGTTAACAGTCACGTGCGGACCTGGAGCACCAGGTTCTTACTTGCTCCTGGATGTCCTGGTCAAAGCCTCAGGTACCTACGCCTGTCTGGCTGGTGCCAGCAGTGGATCCCTCTAGGCAGACGCCGTTTAGGACATCAGATGTGTCCTGCTCATGCCAAGGAATTTCAGATGCTGTTTTTATACTAAAGACTATGTTAACTTTGTTCTTCCATAATGGTTATGTACATGTGTTTGCTTATTTAAGTCACGGTCTTTTGGTGCCAAGGAAATACCATGTCATTCTTGCAATTATACCCACCCAGAAATATCCCAAGACTTCCGTAGAACAAAGGGAGTCAGGGAGCTCCACAAACACGCACTGATGTATTACACATGTAAAGTGGTATGTTAATACAATGTTAATAGTATATTACTTGGGTTACATTCCCCAAGACACTGTAATAACTGATTTGGGAAAAAAAGGTCATGATTTCACACACGTTTATCTTCGTATCTTCTCAGGATATTTTTTTTTGTAGTAAACTGATGATTTTCATGATAAAGTTGCTTTTCTTTTGTTTCATGATGATACCTTTCATGTCAATGATCAAGACATAAGGCTGTTTCCAATCAGCCTGAGTTTAAGAGAGAGGCTCATGAAATACTTTGGGACCCCTCAGCTCAGTAGTTCCAGAAGTGCAAGTGCACTCTCCCGGTGACCACATTTTAAAACAAGCTATTTTTTTTTAACACTTAAAACCACCCAAAGCAGTTTTTATCCCTCTGTTGAGTAGAGTGTGGTAGTCCAAAGGGCTAAAACACCAGCAGTCTTAAGTGTTTTTACTAGGGAAACCGCTCAGATTGCAATCCTGTCAAGGCCCAAGCTGTCAGGCTAGAAAAAACTGATGTTGTGCATTCACAACTAGAAACGCCCTCTCTGCTCCCCACCACAAACCCAGCTAATCCTAGAGGTTAAATAAATTGGGTATTTGAGGAGATAGGTAATCACAGGAAAACAGGAAAACCTGACCAACAAACCAGCTCTAGATAAACCATCAAAGCTACCGTTGCAAAGACACTTGGCAACAGCCAGACACCCCTCTTACTATGTCTAGGAAGGTCTGATGGAGTATTTAGCAAATGTCTCTGGCAGAGGATTTGGAGGTTCCTCTTTATTCCCACCTCTCTTCCCAGCTTGAGAATATGTACTTTGGGGCAGGTGGGTCTCACCTGCGGGGACAGGGTGAGGTTGGTGGGGCAGCAGGACCCAGCTTGGATGCAGGTCTGGACACCCAGCTCCATGCTAGGGCTCCTGCTCTGCTTTGGAATCAGCTTGAGCTGACTCAGACTCATGCAAAGGCAACACAACAGCGACTGCAAAACCTACCTGCACGTCTAGATGTGTGCTCCAGGCAAGTCTAGGTGTGTGCTCCCGGCCAGGGTCATCAGGAATCAGCCATGAAAGTGGACTGGATTGGTATTTGGAGTCCTTGCTGCCAAGGCATGCCCAGGAAAGCGGCTGGTATGCCACAGCCTCTGCAAAGTCTTCAATGGTTCTTCAGAAAGATCAGCCCAGTGATAAGCCTGTGCCAGTTCCTTCCCTCAATGCCTTTTTCCATTTACGCTGTAAGACAGCTTCAAGTCCGCTGCCTATCACTTTCCCAGCTGTTTTACTCTTCGTGACTTTTTGCCATTGCTAATATTCTATGGAAAGTAGGTAGTTATCATGTCACTTTTTATAGAAAAGATAATTGCTGCCCTAAAGCTAAATTACTCGCTTCTGTGGAGAAGCTTAGATTAGACTCAGCTGTTGCTACCTTTTGAAACGTCTAACATAAATTATAGTGTTTCCTAAACACTGCAGCTAAGTTTTGATGTTTGGCTGCCCTGATATAAACGAAGTAACTGACAGTTTTGGCCTGGCAGCAAGAAAAAGCCAGACAAGGAAAGAAAAAAAGATCGTGAGGAGGAGAATTGATTCATATTTACAGTTGAGGTAGGGATGCTAAGTAAGAGGCAAACTTTCAAAATAGCATATTAAATATGAAATCTTTGGAAAGTCTGGTGTGGAGCTCCACAAAAGCTCCGTGGGGTGAGTGCATAAGCCTTCACCTTCCTGTCACTCTTCTTCAGGGTTACCTGGCTCTGAGCAATGCACTCCACCACCTGTGCCTATGGTTATTCTTTAGAATAGCTATGATAAATAACTATACAAAGACCAATACCATGAATCTATTAAAAAGATTGACAAATATCAACAATTACTCCATTCTGAGCAAGCAACATTTTCAAAGCAGTTCGGAATGTTTCACCACACATTTGGGCAAGCACAGTGATCACAATGCTGCATCCCTCATTAAGATTTAATCTTTGCATATGAGTCAGCCCTGCAAATCTTCAAGGCAATACTCTTTAGTTTCCAAAACTTGAGTCAGTAAGACATGCTAATGAACCAAAAGATATTATTTTGCAAAGCTAATGCATAGGAGGCAGATACTCCCATGATTCTATGAAGGAGGAATAGTCAGGAGTCCCTTCCTGACTTCTATATCAGCCTACAAAAGTCAATTTTCAGGCTCTAAAGCAGCATAAGCAGTAGACATATGCCAAATGAGAAAGCTAGAGAGATCCAACTTGTAAATATTCCTTCAAACATACACATCTGGAGCTGAACACCATCCAAAATCATGTCTAACCACAACACGTCATGTACATGAAGACCAAAACCTATTTGTGGATGGAGAAAAAGGCATGCTGTAATTAACATGGAGAAGCCAGGATGGTTACAAAGTTCATGGTGATGGCAACTGCACTTCATCTGAAAAGGTCAGGATGAAGCTCTGTGCCCTGGAATTACTCATCGCTCCTCACCATAAAGAATATTTGTGTTTCTCTGCTTAATCTGTTCATGTTTGCCTCTTTGTTGACCAATTTGCTGCCAGTGTGTCAAAATGAGCTCTAGATTACGGTGAGTCACTATGGAGATCCCTGGAGCAACAGCCTGGGAAAGTCTTGGGCCTGCTCAGAACTGGTGTTTCAGGAGATGTTAACAATGATGGCTCTCTGACATCAGTGATGTGATGGGTTATTACCCTCCTGGTAATTACTGGAGCAAGACGCCCCAGTATTGACTAATCATTCCTCTCTAAAACATAACACTGGTGATGTTACCCCAAAGAGGTTATGACTGAAAGCCTTAGAATTGATGGTCATGTTACGATAGTTAAACCAAAACTTTCTGACTTTGTTTTGGGGCTTTTTTTCCAGCTCCATGGGCCAAGCGCTCACCTAGGCACCCAGCTGAGAGCATGGCTGTGGCCAGGAGCCAGCACATTTGTGGAAGCAGCTGCATTGCACATATCTGCTGCCTGAAGGATGCTGTACTTTACTTTTGTCTGGCACTTGAAGAAGTTTGTGCCAGGGCGTTGGCTGCTCTGACACCGTGTTGTTCCTGAAGATGGGCTAGGAAGCATGTTTAGCTTCCTGGGAATGGCATGAGGACTGGGAAAGAGCTGTAAGACAGCCAGAGCTGAAGGCTCCTCATAATGACAGCTTTCGATCCATCCCAGCAGTGACTCTATTCTATGGGTGTTTGGAGGACACAAAAATGTTACACAGTTCATAAATACTGTCTCTTAGTAGAAGCTTTTGATGCTGCACACAGTTGTGGCATCTAACCTGAGCTATGGGTATGTACCAGGACACTGCTGGAGCCCTGAGCCAGGGGCAGTGCACCAGGGTACCAATCCTGTCCTTTCCAAGACATGCAGGGGGTCAGGGAGGAAGACCTGGCTCAGTCTGATCTGGAAGCACAATGCACACTTTTCCCATTATAAAGCCAACTTGAGTTTCCCCTGGCAGCAAAACCATCATCAAAGCTACTGGAAACTCATCCCTAAAGTTGTGTTTTCATGCTATAAATAATTCATTTGTTACTGCTGCTGACTCATAAGTGCTAGAGACCAAACCACCGACCAGAGGAACCAGGACTGTTGAAGGTAAGTATTAGTAAAAGCACTGCTAATGCTGTTAAAGTCAGCTTTGAAAGGATTAGCGTGAGATTTGTTTCTTAACAGCTGCTGCTGTTCTTGCATCTATTAATTGTTAAATATAACTCTCACTACTGGTTCTATAAATCCCTTTCCTGCAATTTTGCATGCTATTATTTTATGTTTATATGGTAAAACCCTCAGGAAAGGCAACATCTCATGATCTGCCCTTGTGCAGTATCTGTCCCTTTAGGGCATCTGATATAACTGGAGCATCTAACAATTACTGGAATTTACAGTCTACATAATAAGATAACAAGTCCATAAGAAATTCCAATAGGGAATTTTCTGCTGATTCTCCAGAGGAATGTCAAAGAGTGGTCAGGAATTCACTTACTCCATTATTTTTACTGATTTATCATTACAGCTCCTTGCTATATACTTCAGGCTTACAGAGACTCAACTCTGCCCCCGCTCCTCCCAGAAAGAAGCCTTTCTGTGCAAAGCAAGACAAAATGTAGAAGGGATTTTCTTTAAGCACATATCTTAGGGCTGAGCCAGCCAGTTAGACTCCCTCCGTACTCCACAGAAAAGGTTTTGGGACCTCCAGTCTCTGGATGCTCTTTCGCATTTTTGGAGGAATGTCCCACTCCCTCCACTGGCTGCAATGGTCTGGTTTTAACCAGCTCAATAGGTTTTAGGTCAACATGTCACAGGCCCCTCAAAGCTTCTACCCTTGCAAAGACCTCTCTGCATGCTGTGGTGGATGATTTGTTTACTTCTCTCTTAATTTCTCAGGTGATCACCATAGGAATGCACCCAGGGCAGTAGCTGGTCAACTTAAGTGCTTGTAATTGATGATGTTGGCATACTCTTGGCACAGCACGGGTACCTCTCCACTCTCATCACCTTTGGGGCTGGCTGAAGGCAACATCCCCTTGAGATAAAGATAAAAGGTGATAACAAACCCACAGTTGTCCTGGTTTGCAAAAACGACAGATGCTCACAGAGGCTTTGGTTGTGATAATCATAGTTATGAAGGACTTGGCAGAGATCATCTACTCTCCAGACAAAAGTGCTCCTGTCTTTTTCTCCCAGCCTTTGGATAAGGTCCATTGCCATGGTGGCTGGGAGCTGCACTGCTGACCCTGATGGGTGGGATAATACAGCTTTCTGAGTGGGCATTTTGCCATTCAGTTTGGCGGTGTGAAACAGAGTGGCTCGTGTGTAGGCTGGGCAGCAGAAACATGTTGCAGTTAATTTGTCTCTCATTCTTGTTTACACCCTTGACAATGTAAGCCCTGTCCTTTATGGCATAGGTTGTGCTTAAATTATGTGGGATGGCTATGAAGAAGCTCTAGGCAACATTTATCTGGGTTGGTCGAATTTTTTTTCCGTAGAATAAAGGACTTCAAAGCACCTCTGTGTGATTAATATGTTGCAGATACAGAGTTCTACTGTAATAAAATTGATGGCATGTTGCTGCACATTTAAGTCTTGATAATGAGTAATAGTTTCACTTTAAAACATGATCTCCTCCTCCTAAGCAGACCTTTCATAGCTCTGCAGGCCAAGGTTATTTTCTTTGTCATAGAAGACAATTTTTTCTCTGCCATACTAAAATCATTTTCTCTGCCATACTAAAATCAAGTCAAAAATACTAAAATCAAAATCAAATTATGAACCTTCTGGTCTTTATAAGGTGTAAATTTGCTCTATCGGTTGAAAATATACCTGGGAGGATTACCGTACATAAAGACATGTTTAAAAAAAGATTGAAAACCAGCCTTGCAGTGTGAAAAATTAAGCTCTCCTAATTAAACACATATAGTACAAATGATACAAGCCCTCCTTCTCCACTGATTACTTTGCTTGTCACTTCATTGTGTAAAGAAGTTATAATTTTCCATAGAAGTGGAGAGGCAACAGATTTATTTAGTCTTTAGCTCTTCTTCCAGCTGGAGGATTTGGATTTCTTCAACACATTGAACAAGGAATTCAAGCCAAAGTTTTCAAAATCTAACGAGGAATTTTACACACTTTCTTCGGAAAAAAACCCCACGTGTTTTGTGTTGTCAGCTACAATTAGTGATCATGAAGAAGCCTAAAGCTGGTTGTCAGATGGATATCACACTGTATGGGGCTCAGAAATAACAACTAACCCTAAGAAAGATAATTACAGCAGTTGAAGGAATGATCCAAGCAACAATGTCTGATTTGCAAGTAAACAAGATAATCACCAAAAATTCCTCCAGGCAGTTAGAGGAATTGTATAAAAGCACTTGCAGCAGAGGAATTGTATAAAAACACTTGCAGCTCGAGGCTGTTTACCTGCTTCTTCTATCTCTCTTCGGTGGATCGAGTAAGTCTAATTTGCCTTATTTTTTTGATGGGGCATCCACAACTTCGTTGAGCAACCTGTTCCAGTGCTTCTCCATCCTCATTGTAAAGAATTTCTTCCTTAGATCTCATCGAAATCTCCCCGCTTTCAGTTGAAAGCCATCGCCCCGTGTCCCATCACTACACGCCCATGTCCAAAGCCCCTCTCCAGCTTTCTTGTAGCCCCTTTAGGTACTGGAAGGTCTCCCTGAAGCCTTCTCTTCTTCAGGCTGAACAACCCCGACTCTCTCAGCCTGTCTCCACAGTAGAGGTGCTCCAGCCCTCTGATCATCTTTGTGGCCTGAATCCTTACAAAACATTTTAGGGGTGTCCACATCTTGTGACTAAGTGAATAATGCACACAATATCCAGGACACTTTTTCCTTTGCTGTGGATTAACACCCAGAGAAACCTGGGTCTCAAACAAGGAATGATTTTAGCATCATTGTACAATAGTTTTAAGCTGAGGAGAAAAGGAAAACGAAAAGCAAACGTTGTGATGCGACACAGACTTTAATTGAAACAGGACAAGGACTTCATAGCAGCAGAACAGAACAATCCAGAGAGTACAGAATACATCTGCAGGGTTTGCTGGGGGTGGACATGGTTATCTTCTTTGGGGGCTGCAGTTTGCAAGATGATCTCTTGTCTTTGTTACATTTGCAACATTTGAGAGTCGAGTTTGGTTTTCACCTGTTTGGGTGTTTGGGTTTTTTTTTGGTTATAAATCCCAGACTATGTGAAAAAGGTAGCTCCCACAATCCAACTGGAACTTTGAGAAGTTTTTCCACTGTATCTCAACAGCCATGAAACACCAGCCCATATGAAAAGCCAGAACATACAGGATCTAATTTGCACTGGTATCTAGTCTTCTGTAAACCACTTGAATTTAAATTGCGGCCTTTCCTATATTTCTGAAGTAAACAGCCCCTCAAACACAGAGTTGGGATCTTGTTAGCAGATATCTAATCCAACAGGAAGGGAAATACAGTGTCTGGGATTGTTTCTCAGGGTGACTGATTGTGCCCAGCTCCTGAAGACCCCCACCTCAGCCTGGTATGCTGCCCCTCTGAAAGTGATGTCCCTCTGCTCAGCCACTGGCAGGGACTTGGCTCTGGTCCCTGCCGAGTCCTGCTCCATGGGGAATCCCTGGGGGGCTTAGCAGGGCCCGCAGCTCCCACGACTGTAAGTCGTGTACCTGCGGGAATAGCAGGGGTAGGAGTACCTGCCACCCAGTGAGGCACCGGACCCGAAGGAGCTCTGCGCATCCAGGGAGCTCCCGTAGCCAAAGGAGCTGCCCAGCCCCAGTGGGGCCGAGGTGCCCACAATGCTTTCCTGAGGGCAGGAGCTGAGGATGGGGCCCGGGAAGACGATGGTCACGGGCGGTGGGTAGACCACAGCACGGGAGTCCCCGCAGGAGGTGACGCAGGGCTGGCTCCAGGCGTTGGCGTACGGCGGGGGGCAGCTCACGTCGCAGGGCGAGTAGTTGCAGACCTGCCTGTAGGAAGACATCTTTCTGGCTGGGAGTAATCCTGAAACACATAGGGTGGGGAGACCGTGGGTCAAGGGCGACAGCGCAGGTGTGTTTGCAAAGAGGAGCCCTCATTTGTTCAAATCAAAATATCCAGAAAGTTACTTTTCTATAGCCAAGTGTAAAGTGTGATTGCAATTCATATGCAAAAATAATGAAGATTAGATAATCTGTTAGAAGTCAGCAAAGCCTCATTAAGGAGAGTTGAGGATTAACTTCGCAATGTTTATTTTAAACTGTTCCTAAATCTGTTGTCTTCATTCAGAAAGCACTCCTGGGCATAGATAAAATCATTAAGCATTCTTTCTCTGAAACATGCACAAAGCTCTTGAAGCTCCATGCTCTCCATGGAAAACCCATACCCTCCAAAGCCTGCCAAGCTGAAAAGTTACAGAATTTTTTTTGAAAAGACAAAAATGTTATGAAAATAACATTCTTCCCATAATAGACAAAGCTATATTAAGTGCTCAGGCATAAGGACATTAAAACTCTTATTAAAGTGGCTTTTAAACTCATAGAACAGATTTAGCTGAAATCAGACTTACTCAGTTCACCACCAAGGAGAAGCCAAGAAGAGTGGATGAAGAGCTCTGTGCTCCAAGCCCTTTTATACGGTTCCTCAGAGAAGCTCCAGGGTCTGAGCCACCCTTCGGGCATGCGGTCCTTCCTAGTTACAAAACAAACTTTCTTGCATTTGTCACGTCAACGGGTGGAGGAATCTTTGCACATTGTTTGCTGTTAAGCAATTATTAGTTGAATGGTATCATATCCATATTGCAGCTGACGGAAATCTTTCATCTCAAAATAGAGGCAGTATTCATCATTAGTTTCTTTCTACTCATTGCAGAAATTAACTTCCTCCTTCCACTTGTCCAAGCTTCAAAGCACATAACTCGGATCAGTAAAACAGAGGATTGCTGATTGGACAAAAAAGACTGGTGGTTTTTTTTGAAAATGATGTAGTGGTTTTGTCATGCTTGGTGTAAAAGTTTTCAACCCTTTTAGTTGCAAAGGGACGTGAAAGTTTGAGACCTTTATACCACCCTTGGAAAGATACTGCTCTGCTCCCTTTTTATCCCTCCTCTTTTTTTCCTCAATTGGTGAAAAAAGAAAAATATCTATAGATTGCAGGTCTCACGTTCTTCAGTTACATGATCGTCCCGCTCACAGCTGCAGAGAAGCAGCTCTGTGATATAAGGGCCTTTCTGATGATAACGGTGATTTTCCACAGCTTATTAAAAAAGTGTAGTAGAGGGAGGGGAAATGGGACTTACATGCTGAAGAGGTCTTATCCTTCTTCATTTCTGGAGAATATTATTATATATTGCCCTAGTTAAAAAAAAAAAAAAAGGATGAAAAAGGACAGGGAAACCCTTGCTTAGAAATGCTAGGAAGGATTTAGTCTCATGCACAAGTTATTCCAAAATGTACTGCTTTTAACGACTCCTTTGTTCTGAAATGTCATATTGGGCCCTTTCAGACGGTGGATCCTGTTCTAGCTACATACAGGAGTTCGTAATAAATAAATGTACAACTGGAAAACAGTACCCAGCTCCTCACCTGATGTAACAGATCACAGATCAAAGCAAGTGGTCAAATGCTGGGGTCTTCCTGCACCTACATTTACATTTGATGAACTTAAGGAATTTATATGTCAAAAATATTGCTTACGGCATTTAGTAATTGGAGAGCTGAATCAAATTACACATAGAATCATAGAAAGGTTTGGGTTGGCAGGGACCTTAAAGATTGTCTAGCTCCAACCCCCCTGCCATGGGCAGGGACACCTGCCACTACATCAGGATGCTCAAAGCCTCATCCAGCCTGGCCTTGAACACTTCCAGGGATGGGGCAGCCACAGCTTCTCTGGGCAACCTGTGCCAGTGCCTCACCACCCTCCGAGGGAAGATTTTCTTCCTTCTATCTAATCTAAATTTCCCCTCTTTCAGTTTAAAGCCATTAGAACTTGTCCAATCACTATATACCCTTGTCCAAAGCCCCTCTCCAGCTTTCTTGTAGCTTCTTTAGGTACAGGAAGGCTGCTGCAAGATCTCTCTGGAGCCTTCTCCTCTCCAGGCTGAACAAGCCCAACTTCTGACAGCAAAACTCATTTAAGGAACCATGTCCCTTCCCTACTGGGAGCTGTGATCTGCACTCCTGTGTGTTTATCAGGTGGGATGGAAATGCTCTGTTTTCTTTACTATTTGTTACAAACAGAGACATTACCCTGCTCTTGCTCCTGAACCTGCTAGGGAAGCAGGAAAATAGAAAATAACATCAGGTGTAGACCCAGGGCAAGGTAAAGATGTCCTGGTTAAGACACAGCGGTCTAGAGCAGATTTCCAGCCTAATCTTTGCCAAGAATTTGGGGAGAGGTTTTTAGACGCCCTCATTGTCCTGCGTGCATTAGGGTGAGGACAACTCGCCCTCTGTGGTCACTGCTCTCTCCAGTGGGGATGGTGATCCTTCCTTTCACCATATCTAAAACTAGTTGGTTTCGTTTATTGGTTCCTGACAGCAGTGACTGCCTGAGTTCTCTATTTTCCCGGTATCTGGGCGCCAACCTCATTTACATAAGCTAAGAGATAATAGAATTATAATTATAAATAATAACACTAACAAGTACAAGACATGCCTGGGATCCCCTCCCAGAGGCTCACTTAATTGCCAAGAGATGTTTGGTAAATTATTTAGCCTCTGTCTTAATCATCTCTTCTAGAAATCATCAGTAGTAATTTCCCATTCCATGTGGGTGTTATACAGACTTACACAGAGCAGTATTGTACCTGCTGGGGAAAACACTTAATATAGCATGAAACAGCAAAAGTTTAACTTGAGGCAGAAGAAATCCGATGTGAATTTGGCTGTGGCGGGCACCCAAAGCATGCGGTGGTCCATGAGATCAGTTTAAATGAAATGAGTTTCGTGGGCAAAACTCTAAGCTCCCAGGATCTGTCAGACCTGGGAGACAGTAGCGAGGAGTCCTCGCACTGGACTCTCCAAGTCTTGCAACACATTTGCCCTGGTGCTGTGAAATACCTCTGGAATTAAATCCTTAAAAAGCCAGATGGATGATAGTGAAGGTGGCCAATGCAACATTACTGATCATCTGAGATATGGTGTACTCTCAAAGGGATAGTGGAAGAATGAGGGATGGTGAAGGATGTTTATAATCCGGATATCTACAATTTTTTTCTATCTGGTAGATACTACCTTATGGAAACGACTCTGAAAAGTGACCATCTGCAAGCCTTTAAGATGCACATTGTATAAGACATATCCATGCTGCCATGATGTTTGGAGGTCTGAGGAGCACGCAGGGCCGAGCCATAGTTCTTGCTGCCAGAGTGAGCATGGCAGAGAGGCAGAGAAGTGGGTAATGGGAAATAGTAAACCTGCATTTTCTGGTTTCTAGCACATGCCTTGTGGGCTCAGCATCTTTAGGAGGGCAGGTCTACACCAGGCAGAGGTCTTGTGAGCTAGGAGTGACCAGTCTCCCTTCTAAAAGCAAAGCAGTGACTAGACGGTGCCTGACCTGTATTAATTACTTTTCCTTCAAACCAGGCACTTCTGAATCATTATCTTCTTTTCTTTGTCCTAATCTGATAGCTGTCTTCCTCCTCAGAGTCTGGAAACTCTCTCAGTCTATGGAGCCTTTTCTAACTCCTTCCCTGGAAATCATGTTTGCTTTGTGATCATGCCAGTGTAGTTGCTGTCCATTTTAATACTCCTCCCATCCCTATTTCTCAATCTTAGTCTTTTCTTTTTATGTCTCAAGAGAATGCAAAACCCTTGTTTTTTCAATGCTTTATGAACAACCACTCATTTGTACAACACCCAAACGAATTGGGTAATTATTCTTGTTGATTTCTTGATGGGCTTATTAAAAGACTGAGGCTAAATAATGCCCTCAGCCACACTTGTTGATTCAGCTGGAGAGCTGGGAGGAGTCTTCATTCTTTAATCTCCCGCACTGTGACACTGAGTCAAGGACCATTGTTTGGAGAACTGTAAGAATCGAAGTAGGAGATTGTCCAGCTCGGAGTCACTGACAAACTAAATACACATCTCCAAGACATAATGGGAAGAATAATTACTATCTACAGATCACAGAAGAAAAGCTCATTTACAGGAAATTAAGGCCGTGCAATTAGTGCCCTCAAACATAATTGGCACAGACTTTCTGGCATGTCTCAGTCCAGAAAAACAATAGGACAGCGACATGGTGGCTAACACAGGTTGCTGAAATTTAATTGTATTATTTCCGTGTTTCTGTTTCCAAATATGGTAAGCAATGTACGTTAATGTATGAAATCTTTAGGATTATTAAAGAGTATTCCCTAAGTCAAGGCTGATCATCATGACAATACTTCTGTCTTGGTTCTAAGCCCAGTTACATTAGCTGATAGCTAGATATGAATTTCTACATTTCATGTATAAAAGTTAAGACTTGTCATTAAACAGGGCACAATCTAATACCCTGTTTTGCAGTGCGCAGTTCTGGGAATTGCCAAAGTATTTCCCATGATGGCAATTTGTAGCTAACAGTTCAATGCTGGAGATGAACTTTGAATTTAGAAAGAGGGATTTACAAATACTGCTTCCAAAACACAAATTTTCTTTCTCTATAAATGAATTGCTAGAAAAAACTAAAAGGTTAAACTGAAATAGTAAAAGAAGAATCAAACATACTGCTGTGGCTTTGGACAAAGGTCTGAGACCTCTATCTCCTGCTCTGACTTAGCATTTAAAACACCATGAAAAACAAGCAAACACCAGAATACGACTAACTTATATAGAAATATTGGTTAAGCTATAATACAACCAACTTATATAGAAATATTGGTTAAGTTATAAGACCGCAACAGAACTTGAAAAATTATTCTGCAGATTCATAGCAAAGTATATCTTAATCTCTCTGTCTCCAATAAAGTCATTAGAGTTATAACAAAGATGGAAATCAGCCCTGTGACTGACATGC